AGTACTCAAGAGCAACGGTGTCTCTCTGGAGACTAAGGTGCGCCTGATACAGGCCATGGTCTTTGCAATCACTTGTTATGCATCAGAGAGTTGGACAATTAATGCCTTTGAGCTGTGGCGCTGGAGAAGAGTATTGAATGTACCATGGACTGCCAAGAAAATAAACAGATTCATCCTGGAGAGAGTTAAACCAGGCTACTCTTTGGAGGCAAGGATTCTGGGGCTTCATCTGACATTGGACGTGCTGTAAGGAGAGACAGGTCCTTGGAGAGGGACATCATGCTTAGGATGGTGGAGGGACAGTGCAGGAGGGGAAGACCCTCTATGAGGTGGGTTGAATCAGTGACTGTGGTGATCGGGATGGGTGTGTCACAGGCAACGTGATTGGCACAGGATAGAGCAGGGTTTAGGGCTGATGCACATAGGTTCACTATGAGTCGCAAACGACTCGACGGCACATAACAACAATAGTAACTGAGTACCTCCAATATTTAATAATTAGAAAATGAATGATAAAAGTACAAGTGGTCCTCTATAGGGATGATGGGCAAATTAGTGCCTAAGGATCAAGTCTGGCACACACCACCTGTCTTTGTGAATAATGTTTTGTGGGAACACAGTCAGGACTGTTTGTGTATGATATTGGCAGAGTTGAGGAACTGCACCAGAAAGAGCATGGCCTGTAACACCAAAAATATTTCCTACCTGTAGTGAAAAAGTTTACTGACCCCCGACTTAGTAATAAGACTGATAGTCAACCAGAGGGTGTGGCACCGTGATTACAGCAATGGGCTCAAAGATGTCAGAAGTGATGCGAACGGCACAGGATAGGACAGCGTCCAGATACGTTGTTTGTAGGTGTGCTATGAGTAGTACTCCATTTGGTGGCACCTAACAACAACATTTTGCAGTTAGAACTCTGATGGTGTAATTTGTAGGGAGTTGAGCAGGGAGAAAGAAGAAAAATCTCCTCCTATGCAATTTACAGCCTCTGAAAACCTACTGGAGAGCCAGCTATCAGTCAGTTCCCACTCGATGGTAATGCGTTCAGTTTTTGGACACCTTGAACTGGGGTCCTGATAATACCAACAGTATCCATGTCCAGTTGCTAGCTGATTGAGTTAGGTTTGAGTCCACCAGAGGTCTTTCAAAAGAAATGCCCAACAATCTACTTCCCCCTGAATAGCTGCCACTAAAACGATGCATGTTTGCTTACATTTGATAGCCTACTTTAATAGGCTTATCTGTTTGCCCCTATATTTTATGTGATAATCTTTATAGCTCTAGCTTTTACACCTATGTCCTTGATCCATTTCAAGTTAGTTTCTGTATATGGTGTGAGACATGGATCTTGTTTCAGTTTTCTGCAAATAGGTATCCAGTTCTGTGAGAAGCATTTGTTAAGGCAGCTGTCTTTTCCCTATTTAATGGATTTCATCTCTTTGTCAAAGATCATTTGTCCATTAGTAGATGGATTTATTTCTGTGTTCTCAATTTTATTCCATTGGTTCACATATCTGGTACTGTACCAGTATAAGGCTTACAAGACTGTTAGGAGACTGGCGGAACACAAAGATTTTTGCCCTTAGTCACATTCCAAACTTGGAACAAAACTCAACCCCATGGTTTAACTTTCAGCCAACCACAGACAGGCCTGTCAGATTACCGAGAACACCCCAGGGAGGTACTCACTTTAAAAGAACCAACTATCGCGCTTGGTGGGAGTGTAAAATGG